GGGGGGGGGGGGGGGGTTACTATCTGGAGTACAGTATTAGTAAAAGCTCTTCTTTCCTTTAGCCTTACAGTATTCAGCCAAAATACTATTTCCTACGTTAACTTAAGGTAGTTCTCTCTCTCATTCAGTGTGGTTATTTGTAGAACATTTAGGTTTGTCTGTTACTGTTTATACTGTATTTCAGAGTTCCACATCCTAGTTGGTTTTACTTATTTAGGGAGTTACATAAAACATTACTGTTTGTTGTAAGAATCAAAGCTATGCTAAAAAGGATGCCGTGAGAAGAGTTGCCCCTCCTTACCCTACTTCCCATTTCCATTCTCTCCGTTACTCCTTTCCTGCCTACACATTGGAAGTAACCAGTCTTTTAGTTTCTGGTTAATCCTTCTTGTAATGAGCAGGTATGTATATATTTTCTTATACTCTTTCTTACATAAAGTAATCTTTTCAACTTTGCTTTTTTCACTCAAACAGTATATCTTGGAAATCAATCTAAACCAATTCTTAGAGAAATTTGTCATTTTTTTTATAAATGCAAAGTACTCTATTGTGTGGATATTTTATAGGTTATGGGTATTTCAGCGTTGTCGTTTGTTGAAATAAAAGCAGCACTTGTTTGTTGACTTACTGATGGTAGCTGTTCTCTCTGCTGAGTGACACGGAGTGTTTCTTCACAGGCCTGTTGCAATCTCCTTGGCTCCGTGGCCGCCTTTCTTTCCCCTTTTTCTCCTCCCCTTTGCAACTGCCAGAGGGTGCTCCTGCTTCCCGTTCTTGTCTCTCCTCCCAAAAGCTGTGCATTCAGACTGCCTTCTTCAAATCATACAGACTGACGTTCCCCTGTGTGGTCTGTGTTCTACCCACCCAGACCTGTTTTTAGCATTTTCAAACTTATGTGGACTTAGTCTCTGCAGTGGTTTTTGTTTTGTTTTTTAATCAATGTAGATCCCTCTGGTAGTTTCCCTTTTTGGTTCTCCCCACAGGTTTTTTGCTTTGTTATGTTTTGTTCTGACTTTACTTGTGGAACAGTGAGGGTGGAATGTGAACAGTAGAGATCAAGTGCTGTGATTTATTTTTTCTCTTTATTCACAATTATTTTGAAGCTTTGGCATTCTGTCTTCAAGTTAGGCTGGAGGTATGGTTTTGTGTAGCTTTTCCTTTGCCCTTATTGTTGCCCATGGTTTGGGAAGGAAATAGTGTACGGTTGATATTTATGCAGTTGACATTTTTTTAGCTCTAAAGAATTTTTATGGTATATTAATGCGTTCTTTTTCCTCCAGTCTCTTAAGTATAAACTGTAAAATAAATGAATTAGGAGTAATAGTGACTTTGGGGGAGGGGTGCATTAATGAACACATTTCTGTTGTTAAAGGTTACAAATGAGGCAGTTTAAAAAGAACTGGACCTGTGATTTAGATTCAGCCTTGAATGAAATAGAGGTATGACACTATTTATTTTTAAATAAATTGCTGGCATCCTTGCTCAGAAACTTTGAATAGTAACCCTATTTTAGGAAAAGTTTTAGAAATGTGGCTGTTATACAGAGAAAAAATGATCAAGGAAGTTTTTTTGTTTGTTTTTTAAATATGTCTTTATTAATTTCAGAGAGAGGAAGGGAGAGGGAGATAGAAACATCAATGATGAGAGTCATTAATCGGCTGCCTCTTGCACACCGCCTACCTGGGGGTTGAGCCCGCAACCCCAGCATGTGCCCTGACCTGGAATCGAACCTTGATCTCCTGGATCATAGATCAGTGCTCAAGTGCTGAGCCATGCCGGCCAGGCTAGAACTTATAAAGGCCCTGCAATAGTCAGAAAAGCAAATCATACAATGGCATGTTATTAATGTTGTAACACTTGTCAGTAAGTTTATAAGATTTGCAGAGATTGTCTTATTGATTACTGTACATCTAATGCCAGCATATACCTACCCCATAATATAACAGCTTTCTTTTTCTGTTTTGTTTTTAATAATTCTGGTAGAACTGTAAAGAAAAAGGTGACTGGACCAAATTGGGAAATTTATACCTTAAGGTAAAAATGGACTGTGAAAAATTTGCAGATTTCCAGAGATTCTGTACTTGTGTTGCTGAAACACTAACAAAAGGCTATAAAGAGGAGAGACCAAGTGTCCCATTTTGTGAATTTGCTGAAACAGGTAAAATGTCACTGTTTTGGTGTGAGTCTTATGTGTTAGGGTGATGTAATGTTCTTAACAGGCATGTAAATCTCTTAATGTTTTCCATGTTGAGGATGTTAATATTACAGGTTTCAAATACTTCTTCTGTTCATAAAATTTTTCATCTAATTAAGTTAGATTAATGATATAAGGTCAAAAATTGGTGTTTTAATATCAGATGTTTCATGTTCTTATTTTTGACACGAGCTCTTAACTACTCTATTTTTCATCAGGGGTCAGCAAACTTTTTCTGTAAAGAACCAGATAGTAAATATTTTGGGCTTTGCGTATATCACATATGATCTATGTCACATTGTTTTGTTTTTATTTCAAACAATCCTTTAAAAATTAAAAATTCTTAGTTCACAGGCTATATCTAAAATCAGGCCACAGGCCAGATTTGGCCTGTGGGCTATAGTTTGCTGACACCTGGTGTTTGTGCTCCTATCAGTAATTCCATATTAACTTGCCTATTCCATTATTTTAAGTGACTATTTCACTCTCCATGTGCCTACTTTGTGTTTCAGTTAGCAAAGATCCACAAAATAGTGAAGTAGATAAAACTTTGCTGGGAAGAATCGGAATCAGTGCTATGTACTTCTATCACAAGCTGTTGCAGTGGTCCAAGGTACTTTATTAAATTTTCATTTGGGCTTAGTATTGAAAGTTAGTTTCAGATTTTTGAACAGAATATAGGTTAAGTTAGGAATTTGCTAATAATCATCACAAGTGACAAAATGACTCCTGGAATTAGTGACTTATTAGGTGCTATATTAGGCAAATGTGGAAAGGAGGTGGCATCAGACTGGTTACTATGAAGAATTTCAGTGTAGAAAACACTTAAGAAGCTGTGCTAAATGTCATATTTATTTGAAGCAACTTTCAATTCAGAATTAACTTCCCCAGCTCCTGAATATCAGTCAGTAGCACTGTAATTTTGCAGGTGTTCAAGACACCTTTTTTAAGATGAACCCAAGATACTCACAATTAATAGAACTTAAAAAATCACCTCCTAGAATGCTCTGGAATACTAATACCATATATCTTGATGTCTGCCTTTGAGGTTTAGCTCACCATAGAAGTGGTCTATTGATTCCAGACCATGTTATACTACCATTCTTTAGATTTCCCTGAGAGGTGGTGGGTAGGGTTATAGATTTAGTAAACTTAAGTAAAGTAGAAGACAAGAAAACCCAAAATTGGAAGTGCTGAGGGATGGAATAATATAGCAAGTGGAACAGTTGACAGACGCCCACTAGCAAATCACCTATTAATATGTATCTTTTGTTGCTTCTTATATAGCTGTTATTTCAAAATTGAATAAGTTCAAATAACATTTAAGTACATGGTCACTCATATAAAATCATGAACTTTTTAAAATTAAAAGGCAGCAGAATCATTGTACAGAAGGTCTCAGTCTCTGAAGTCTCCAAGAGGTTTAGTACTTCTTGTGTGGTAGGCCTGGAATGGACAGAATGTACTGTGTCCCTGGCGTCATAGTCTAGCTTAAGGTTGGTCATAGCATTAATATCTTGGATATTTAATGCTTGAGAAATTAAGGACTACCTAACAAGACCCTTTTTAAAAACACAAATTGATTTTGCTCAAATTTTAGAGCAAATTTTATTAGGTTATTAAGAAGCTGGTGAATTTGTATTTTAATTAAAAATTTTCACTATCTTATTTAGAACAAATATCAGTATTTTTAATCCAACCTATTCGTTTTTTAACATAAAAGACCATTGAAATTAAGCTAAAGCAGCTAACTCTTGAAAATGTACTATTTATATAGTCAAATTGAAAGTACATTGACATCACAATATGCATCTCACTCAAGATAGTATATAACATAAAACAACAGTCTTCAAACTAAAGGCCAAGTCTGGCCCACAGCCTGTTTTTGTACATTTTGAGAGCTAAGAGTGTTTCTTACATTTTTAAAGAGTTAGAAATTAAAAACAATAACCAAAGAGAATGTACAACTGACAAGATACGACCTGCAAAGCCTAAGGTATTTATTATCTGACTGTTTATAGAAAAAGTTTGCTGATCCCCGATACAAAATAATAATATAGGTCCAAGAAGTCTTTATGTAGACTACGTGAAATAATCTGTTGAATCAAAGAAACAGTTTTCAGCCAATAATCTTATCCTTTTCTTCACTATCATTCTTTATCTAAATTTGATAATTGTCTTCATTTTTACTTTCTCTCCCTCCTGGATCTCAAGGTGATCAACAGAAGTACAAAAACTTATAATAGTTTTCCACACCAAGGCATGAAATTCTTGTGCCAAATGAAATCTTTAGGGGGAAGCACAATGTATAAAACACATGAAAGGAGAACTGCTTAAAGGGGTCCCATGGTTGGCAAGGGGTAATATGAGGCAAAGCCCTGCTTGCTCCCCCTTCCCCTTCTACCTTTGTGGCTGAGCAAGAAGGGGCTTAAGTAGAATCTTGGAGCAGTTTTGAGAACTGTCCGTCTAGAATGATATTTCGAATTGGATAATGGGTTTCTCTATCACTAATCAGTGTAACTTTGTATGTCTCTAATACTCTAAATGATTGATTGGTACTCAATTAGTGCTCTTTATTTTTACTCTAGGGAAGGAAGGTCTTAGATATGCTCTATGAATTAAAAATACATTTTACAAGTTTAAAAGGACTTACAGGGCCTGAGAAGTTAGCACCAAGATGTCAAATTGTGAATGTTGCAGTAGAAATTTTTCTAAAAAGTGGAAGCCTAGATGGTGCCATGTGGGTATTAAGAGGTAAGCTCTGATATATGCAAACATAAATTTGTGTTATAAATTCTTGTCTATGTAATGAATTACCTTAAGTTAGCTATTTTCAACCTGTTTCATCTCATGGCACACATAAACTAATTACTAAAATTCTGTAGCACACCAAAAATATATTTTTTGCCAATATGACCAAAAAATAGGTATAATTTTAATTCATTCACACCAGAAGGCTATTGTTGTGTTGGCTGTTGTCATTTTTTTATTTGACAATCTAAGGGAAAAGAGGTGGTACCCCTGACTAAATAGGTATTGCATGTTTTAAAAATTCTTGCAGCACAACTGTTGAAAATCACTGCCTTTAGTTAATACTGAATTGTGGATGATAATTTGGTCTAAACTCTAATGGTCATGGGGGTAGGAAAAGTGGTGGTTGTATAAAATGAAAGGAGAAAGTTAACCTATAGCTTTAAAGAAGAAATTGTATAAACCTTTGTTGAATAGCTAGTTCTTACTTTGTTGTAGACATCATACTAAATTCTTTACCTGCATTATCTCAGTTAATCTTAATAGAAGCCCTGAGTTTGGAATTACTGTAGTACCCATTTTATGGCTTAAAAAAAATACATTGTCGGAGACATTAAGCAACTTGCCCCAGATGATGTAACAAGGAGTGGAGGCTGGATTCAAACTCAGACATTCCAGGTTTAGAGCCCAGGCTTCAGCTGTGATCTGAGAAAGGGAAATTCTGATTGCAGTCTGCATAAATTCTCTCTGCATGTACAGGCAAGCATGACTTCCAAGGAAACCAAGCAAAGCTTACTTTCCCTAGTAAGGTAATCCATCGAGCAGAAATTGAAATGAAGCCAGCATAAAGCAACTCAGGTGTGTTTGGTAGGAGGTCAATAAAAATGTAGGGAGCACAGTAGTAGTACAGCATGGTATCTAATAGTAACTCTGGCTGCTTGGACCATCAGGCAGATTTTATTTGATAAAATGGGGTAAGAATGAAGAAACCTTGAGAATCTGAGTTTAGGTGGGAAGATGGAATATATGCCCAAGTAAAGCAAATAGATAACCTTTACATGAACACACACACATGTACTGGCACACACTCATATTCGTGCCTGCGTGTGTGCAGTACCCAGAGTATATGGAGTACAGATGCTGTGAGTGGGCTTCATGATCAGAAACTTGCTGGAAAAGGTTTTCTACAGCTTAGCAAACCGCACTAGCTAGGTTTGCTAAGTGGGGAAGAGCAACCAAGATACAAAAGTAGAAGTTGGCGAAATATGCAAGTCAGAGGTCACAAGCTCTGTTAGAAAGAAGAGATGTGGCAGGAAATGGAAAGATTAAAATCATTGAAAATGGGCCTGGGTCGTTCTATTATAGGAAACGTCTACCTGAAACAGAATGAGGGGAAGTTTGTGGGAGGGATGTGGAGTGCTCTAAGGAGATTTAAAATTTTTACAATTTTGATGTTTTAATTTTGATATCTTTACATTTTCTGTAAGTTATAAGCACAGGATTCTTTTGCAGTGAGCATTTCAATTGAAAGTCATTTTTAGCCCAGCTGGTGTGGCTCAGGTGGTTGGGCATAGTCCCAGGCACCAGGAGGTCTCCAGTTCGATTCCAGTCAGGGCACATGCCTGGGTTGCAGGCTCGATCCCGGGTGGGCTGGGGGCCGGTGCAGAAGGCAGCCAATTGCTGTTTCTCATCCATGTTTCTCTCTCTCCCTCTCCCTTCCTTTCTCTGAAATAAAGAAAACATTAAAAGAGTCATTTTCATAAGTAAAATTTTCTTCAAAAGAAGGGCCCACAGAAGTATGCTAAGTTCTATCCAGAATTGTTTAGTTCTTGAAAGGGTTCTGCAGTGAACAGGCCAATCTCAAGAAAGGAAATACAAATGGCTGAACCTCACTTGTAGTGGGTCTCATACTCTTAGGAGAAGTATACATTAAAATAACAGAACATCGCCCGGCCGGGCGTGGCTCAGCGGTTGAGCATCAACCTAGGATCTAGGCGATCGGGGTTCGATTCCCGGTCTGGGCACATGCCCAGTTGTGGGCTCGATCAATGACTCTCTCATCATTGATGTTTCCATCTCTCTCTCCCTCTCCTTTCCTCTCTCTGAAATCAATAAAGATATATCTTAAAAAAAAAATAACAGAACACCTCAGACTAGCAAAGATCAGAGTTTGGCTATTTGCTTTTTTTGAGGGTATAGAGAAGGCATTCACACGCATTGTCTTTAGGAGCTTTTTGGCAAAATACTTGTCAAAATTGAAAATGCGTATATCAGTCTATTAACTCCATGTCTAGGACTTTCTCCTACAAACATATTTATATCTGCATACAAGGTATGTGCAGTATGTTATCTGAAATCTTTTTTCATTATCACCAATGAGAACACAGGATTCAGGATAACTCAAGTGCTCATTAAGGGAAGAGCAGTTAATTAAACTGTGTGATAGCCATGCATGGGAATAGAATGAGGCAGATCTACAGCTATTCATTTGAAATGATTTCAGGCTCTGTTATCAAGTGAGAAAAGGAATGTGCAGAACAAGGTATAGAGTACGCTACCGTTTGTATAAAAATAAAATGGGTACTTACATATGTGCTTATATACCCTTAGCATATTTGTAGAAGCACACTTAGGAAATAATAGTGGTTGCTTCTGGGAAAGGAATGGAGTGCTTGGCATCAGGGATGAGAGGCAGATTAACCTTTTACATAAGATTTTTTTTCTATAGTTTTGCTTTTAACAAAGTGCATTTATTACTACTAAACTTTTTAAAGAAGGGGTTACATGCAATACTCATGTTTGAGAAATGCAGGATATTTTACCCATGTTTGGTTTACTGGGTGACACTTTATGAGAGGAAATATATTGTTTTGGCTTTTCACTTTCACACATTAAACTTTCTCAGCACTAGTAGCTTGTGTCGTGGTAAAAACAACAAATTCTTACCCTGACTTCTTTCCCATACCATCATTTTTTAAAAAGCCTGAAAATCATAATTTTATAATCAGTTTTGAAGTTGAAAAATAACTCTCAGAATATGTTTTGTGAAAAGTTATGCTTCCCTTTATTCAGAAACCACCCTTGAATTTTAAAATAACTTTTATTACCTTAATATAAGCAACACATATGCTTTATGGAGAAGCGGGAACAGGAAGAGAAGCAAAGCTGACGATAAAAGTCCCTTATTCAGACACCCAGAAATGACTCCTGTCCACTTTAATGTTGCTGTACAGACTCTTTTTGTACCTTGCACTTTTTTTCAGGGAAGTCTTTCTATGGACATCCTTCTGTGAAAAGGAATATTCTCCTGCAACATCATTTAATGGGAAGAATGGTTTTCCATCTTACAAATATCTAGAAATATAAATACATAACCATACCTATGAATCCACTCTTCTTGAACCAGCTTGTTTTCTAATGTCTAAGATAAAGGGATGTTCAGCATGGATTATTGTTTATCAAAATCTCTACTATGTCCTTAGAATAAATTCTGATGGAATTGCTGGGTTAATGGACAAGGGCAGTTTAAAGCTTTTTGGTAAATGTTGACAAATTTGCCCTATGCCCATTCAGACTTGTGGCAAGTTATTTTAGTTTATTAGGAAGCCTCCCTTCATGAGGAAAATCCTAGAGAAATATTACATAGGTGTGTATTCTATATAGACATTGTCCCTTTTGGGATCACAGGTGCATGTAAACAGTGAAAATGTTAATGCCCAATATTCTGATTGTCAGTTTTCAGACAGACTGGTGCACTCCAGTTTATGCAAACCCTAATCTGGCTATTCAGTATAACCCATTCCAAGTCTCATCTCTGACTAGAAACAAAATATGCCTTTAGAAAGGTGGTACTGATAATAGTCTCCTTACCAGTGTATGGAGATGCATATCATGAAACACCCTTGCCAGCTTTGTATATATTACCTTTTTATCTCTGCTAGTTTATAGGGCAAAAGTGATTTTCACTGCTTTATTGTACATTTAATTGCTTATTAGAAAATTTAACTTTATTTGTCCTTATTTTATGAATTATCAGTTCATGTTCTTGGTCTGTTTTTGAATTGTATTTCTCTTGATTATTTAATAATGTATTTGCTACATACCAAGCATTGTGCTAAGTGTGTTACTTGTGTGTCTTTGTTGAGTCAATACCAGCCTCATGAAATAGCTGATGGTATCCCACAATGAGAACACTAAAGTTTAGAGAAGATCACACAGCAGATAAGTATGGAGCAAGAATTCCAATCTAGGTCTCTTTGTCTACAAAGTCCATGTTTTTAAGCCCTACACCAGTACTATTATTTCCCTAGTATTTCCTTTAAATGGACTTTATAAAATTGCAGCCAGAGCAGAAGAACAAATCATGTGTGCAGACCCAGATGAAGCTGGTCAGCCAGCTGAGCAAAGTGGTGATTCTGATCTTGTTTCCAACTTGACCACCGAAATGTCCTGGGAGGCTTGTGAAGACACAGGTTGCTTGGCCCATACCCAGATTTTCAGATTCATTAAGTCTCGGGTGGCTCCTGAGAATTTGTATTTCTCACAAGTTCTCAGATATGGCTGATGGTGCAGGTCCGGGGACCTCACTTTAAAGACCGTGTACCTATGCATTCTCATGTGGTGACTTCTCACACCTCACCCGTGTCCCAAAACCAGACTTCCTTAACTCCTCTAGTTTAACCACTGCTGTAAGCATTATCATTTTATTATGGATTTTTAATTATGGATTATCTGTGGACTTGCTTTATTTAACTATCTTTGTACCTTCCTAGGGAAGAAATTGCTGTTTTGAGGAGGGTTTTTTTAAAGATTTTTTGGTAGTTTTATTGAGATACAGTTGACATACAGCACTGTGTAAGTTTAAGGTGTAAAACATAATGACTTACATATATTGTGAAATGATTACCACAATAAGCTTAGTTAACATCTATCGTTTTATATAAATAGAAAAAAGAAAAGTATGCTTTTCCCTTGTAATGAGACCTCTTAGGATCTACTCTCTTCATAATTTTCAAGTAGACCATTCAGCAGTGTTAACTAGTCATGTTTACATCACATCCCCAGCACTTATAACTAGAAGTCTGTACCTTTTGACCATCTTTGTCTAGCTCCCCTGCCCCTCAAACCTCACTGCTGGTAACCACAAATCTTATATTATTTTGTTTTTTTTGGTTTGGTGGTATGTGTTTTTAAGATTTCACATATAAGTAAGATCATGTAGTATTTGTCTTTCTGTGTCTAACTTATTTTACTTAGCATAATGCTTTTAAGGTCCTTCCATGTTGTCTCAGTCTGGAGTTCTTAAAAGCATAGATGTGTGTATTCTGGGGTGTTGTTTCTTTTTAATGTTAACTTTTTTATACTAGGAAATTTAATATAAGGGTTAGCCCTAACTCCTGGACCCTAATAACTGTCACTATAGTACTAATATAAGCATATAAACAATTTTAATATTTTTTAAAACTATTGTCTTCATTTTTGATCAGTGGATGGCTTTCTACTTAATATCTAATTTATCTAGGTATAGTCACTATTTAGGTCATTAATACCTCTTTCCCAAATAATTTTCACCAGATGTGAGCCCTGGTGAAATTTCATTGATGGGCTTATTAGAGTTTTGTTAATTTCTTCTTTGTACTTTTTTTTGCTTGAATTTTTATAGGGATAGTTTATATTTAAAAGTAAACATTTTAAAAGTAAATCAACCAACTTGTTCTCATCCTAAGTAATAATATATATGAAATCACAGGTTTAATGTTATTTTTATATTTAATTTGACCCTTTTATTTTTATAATTTGTATAACACACAAATTATTAAAATTATAACATCTAAAATTAGTTCAGGTACCATCAGTCATGTGTATATATCACACTTAGGAAAACTGATTTTTCTTTTTGCATTTTTGTTTGTTCTTTTGCCCAACTGACATTTTCTGTTTAACATAAACTGCTTTTTAAATCTTTCATAACTTTTGTTTTGTATCATGCTTTAGGTAGTTGTTGACTATTTCAAAATTATATATTTATCCATATGGTCTTCAGAATTTTTTATTGTTACTTTTAAATTTTGATATGAGGTGGGAGCCTAACTTTACCTATTTCCCCCAAATGTCCCAACTCATCCTTTACTCACTTATTTGAAATGCCACTTTTATTATACATTAGAGTCATGTCTGCTTGGGTCTGTTTCTGTACTTGTCTCCTCTACAAGAGATCTCTTTTTGTGCTAGCACCATACTCCTTTTAGTTAATATAGCTTTAGAATAGGTGATAATATTTATATTTTCCATACTGTTTTTTTGCTATTCTCAACTGTTTATTCTTTGGGATGTATTTCAGGATTATTGAGTCAGGTTTTAATATAGTTCTGTAGGAAATTTGGTCAGGATAATATTAAATGTATACATTTAGGGGAGAAAGGATATGTTTCGATACCCACCCACCCCCATCGCAGTATTCACCTTGATAGTTGTTTGCTTGACTCACTACTAGCCTGGAAATTCATTGAATGCAGACTGTCTTTATAGTCTTTCATTCTCAGTGCCTACATTCAAAATCTTCATGGTAATGACTGAATATGCATATGTTGGAAGGTAAGTGGATAAAGAATATTATAGAAAATTTGATTGCCTTTTGACTCTGAGATTTTTAGACAAACGGAAAATATTTCCCAACTCTGGAACAGAGAAAAACAGGATTAATGCAGTAAGAACTTTTATCACCATAAAACTAGTATTGCCTGGCTGGTCGTGGCTCAGCAGTTGAGCATCGGCCTAGGATCCAGGAGATGGCAGTTCAGTTCCCATCTCTCTCTCCCTTTCCCTTCCTCTCTCTGAAATTAATAAAGATATATTTATTTTTAAAAAAAACAAAACTAGTATTAAGTACATTGTAAACTGGTTTTTATTTTTGAGAATGTATTCTTATAATAAGTGTTCTTATAAAATTTTACATTATTACAAATATGTTATAATCTGAACATTTTTGTCACATAAAAATAAACATTAAATTTATGAATAAGTAACTGATTAGTATACTAAGAAAAATAAAGAATTAAAAAATAATAAGGTATGATCATCACTATATGTTCCTAATACATTTGAGCCATGGTTATCTTTTATGAGTACACATATTTATCACTTTCCAAAAAATGTAATCACAACTAATGTTTTTAAATAAGTGTAGTTTTCATAGTGTAAATAAAGTGTTAGTACTTTTTTCTTTTTGAAAGAGTCAGAGTGGATAATCGATACACCACTATGGCCTTGTGATAGACTGGATGTACTCAATCGACACAATCTGCTCTGTACAATTGCACATGAAATCTTAGCGAAGAGCCTTTACAGACAGACATTTGAAGTTTTGCAAAATCTACCAGGTTTTCAAAACTCTCAAGGTATGTTTTTTAGAAGTCTAGCTTAATTATCTCTTGCCCGTCTGGTATTTAACTGTTAATAAGAAACAGTTCTCCACCTGTTTTGGTTTGAGTTTTATATCCCAGCATATATTTTTAATGAAGTTGTTTTCTGTAAAATGTGTTTTCTACAAATTGAATATGCTTTCCTGATGGGTTTAAAAAAAAAAAAAAAGTGGAGATGCTTGTCTTTGGGTTGTTGGTCAGCAGTTCCTAACAGAAGCCTTTCCTATCTCTGCCACGTCAGCAGCCAACAGTGTTAAGGACCCCCAGCAAGCTTTATATCTTACAAGAATTCTTTGCATTGGGATAATGAAGAATACTTTTTCTTTTATTAACAAATATAGAACTTGGTTTCCATTACCTTATAACATAGGTAAACATGGAATAAGTAGAGGAAATTAAGCAGGTGAAAAGTTCAAAGAAAGCTAACGTGGGTGATGGCAGGGTAGTGCTCTTGAATGCTTGTGCTCGGATCATATAGACAGGAAGAGGGAGTCCATGTTAAGGGAAACGAAAGGCTTTGGGTGGTGGGTTCAGAGGTATGGGTTAACATTTAATGAAAATGTTAACCTGAGGGCCTCCCCTCTGCTTCACCAATCAAAGTTGGTGTTTTAGGAAAGTTCCTCTTTTCTAAAGGTAATATTTAGGACGAGACTGAAGTTAAGGACACTAATTTTCTGATGAGGCCTGGACCACTAAAAGGGCCTAACGTGGTTGAAAACCTAGAGTCTAGGTTATAGAGTGAGCTAACTTAATATAGGGAATGAAAGTCTTGGGAGTCTCCAAGGACTGCCCTTTCTAAGTGAAGAATGGGGAGGAACAGAAATACCCAACAAAGGGTTTCCTTCTATTTGACTGAATATTATGAGGGGATGATTGATTTTTAGTCATGGGAAGTACATGTCCACAGTCTGAACTGCAGAGGGAATGCAAACGGAAAGGTGCTGTCCGCCATCTGAGACACTGCAGATGAGTCACCTGTGGGGATCCCAGAGGTGTTAATGCAGCTTCTGAATTCGCCGCCAAGCTTCCTTCCTATGCTTCATTGCAAAATGAATGAATCATTGGCTTCTGTTGAATGCTTTTTTGTTACTTAAAAGAATATGTAAGATGATGGCACTTGAGTGACTGCCACTCCTAAAGTGCCAAGGGGAGCAGAGAGAAAGGAAAGGAGTAAGAGAAGTCTGAGGGGCTAACATAGACCAGTTTCATTGTATCCATTATTTTTTCCTTTTCAGAAACTGTGGAGGTCTCACAGTACAGCCTTCTTTTTAATAAACTTCTAGATGCCTGTATAGAAAGCAACAGTCTTGGTATTTCATCCTCTGTAGCAGAATTCATGATTTCAAAGAGCATCCCTATTGATTTTTCCTCTCTTAGAAGATTAATTACTTCTTTAGGAAGGAGTTGTTTATGGCTCAAAGCGAGAGCTCACTACAAAAGTAAGTTACATTAAAAAAAAGTTTTGGTATATTGGTTTTTGCTTTGATTTTCTAACCCTGAATCCTTGTATAATATTTACAACTAGAAATTCAAATATGTACACAGAACAGTTGATACACATTCAAAGATAGTGGTTCAAGTAGCTATTCTGGCATTTTAGTTATTCTGAAATTGTTGACTATGGCTTTAAATATACAGTTGTCAAAATGAGGCTCAAGTCATTTTTCAGAGTTTTTTTAAATGTATTTCTAATTTCATGTTTAATGTTTCAAAAACATTTTACAGAAAATTTTAAATGTACCAAGATAAGCTCATTACCATATAATTTGTGTAATCTGTGTAATGTGATCAGTTATTCTGTACTGTAAGTAATTATCACCTATGGATATTTTGGAAGTCTGGGTTTTCACCTATGAGAGTTTTAGTAAAGTTTGATCTTTTTTTTTGATTTTCAGGTGCTCTTTCATTGGGTTGCTATCCACCATTAGAGGGAAATTTATATCGAAAACTCCTACGGATTCCGTCTTATTTATCTGAGATTGAAATGCTTTTAGCTATCGAAATCTTCCTGGTATCTAATGCTAGTAGTATTCAGAGTCCTGGTACTCCTACACAGACACTTCAGATAGTTTTGAAAAGGTTGGTTGATATAACTTCCAGTCGCATCCTGAAAGCAGATCATGACTGCCTGTACCTGCCCTAGGATGTAGATGTTTTACATATTTGTATATTTGTTTATATTTATGTTGTTGTGTAGTGTGTATTTACAAACTTGGGTAACATTTAAATTGAGAAGAAAGCGTTAACTGTTTTGAGACTTAAAACCAAAGCATTCAATAAAAACTTGAACAACTTCAGAGATTCTGTATTGATTCAGAGATGAGTCCTCTTTAGGTATCAGTCTTTTTCATGTACTGACAGTTTTTAGATAGGCACCTAAAAGTTATTTACCTTTTTGGTCAACACAAAGATCTAAGACCAGGTCTAAAAGGGACCTATGTGATAGTTTACTAGGCTCAATCAATTCTGTTGAAAATAAACCCATCCGCCTAGTTTCTGAATTTTAAAATGTTATATATGCATAAATATTATAGTGTAGCTGTTGGACCAGACTAGCATCCCTTTAAATAATTTCGTTCAAAGTCCCAGAATTTAGGCTTATACTATTACAATTTTTTGTCAGCCTTACCCAGGAAACATGTAATACAAGGATCTCATGGGACTCCTGTTTTAGAGCTGATAAAAATTTTGCTTCAGTTTACTGGTGTTACAAACCAGATCCTCAGATTGAATATTCTCAGTTATCTGTGTATAAATTATCCCAAAACTTAGTGGCTTAAAACAAATACTATTTTAGTTTCTGTGGGTCAGGACTTTTGGAGTAGCTTAGCAGGATGGTCTTGGCTCAGGGTCTGTCACGTAGTTGGAGTCAGGAGCTGCAGTCACCTACCTGATGGTTTGACTGGGGCTGGAGGATCCATTTCCCAGATGGCTCACTCACAAGGCTGTTGGCAGGGAGCCTCAGTTCCCTGCCACATGGGCCCTTCCATTGGTTCCTTGAGTGTCTTCGTGACATGCCACTAACTGCTCTCAGAATGAGCAATCCAGCCCCCCTTCCCTCTGGCCATCACCACACTGTTGCCTTTGTCTATGTGTCATGCATGTGTGTTCTTTGGCTGATCCCGTCACCTTTAATCCAGTCCTCCATCCCCGCTCCCCTCTAACAGCTGTCACTCTGTTCCATGTATCCATGCCTGTTTTTCTATGTCCGGCAGTTGATGAGAGCCACCTTCGTTTTTAAACCAACTAAAATTGGCTAGTTTATTTTAGCTCTGTTCTGTTCTGAGGGCTTCCTTATTTGCCCTGTGTACTGCAATAGCTGAGGCATTGGGTTCCCATCATCCTGAGAGTGGCATGGTTTTCTCACAGCTTTGCATTCTCCACACACATGCAGCCTCTGTATTCACTGTTGAATTTTAGGGGTATTTGGGACCCCACCTTTGATTTTCTCCAAGCCAGTATTGTTTCCTCATCATGCTGAGCCCTATCTTGTTACAATAACTTCTATGAGAAAGAACTTTATTCATCCTTAGCATTTCAAAAACTGCACATAGTTGGCACATGCCCAATCGACCAGATTCTAGGCACCAGTTCCCAAGCCAGGAGGTATTAGAAGGTGCCTGACCAATTTTTCCTCTCTCGGGTTCCTGTTCCAAGTGGAAGTCCTCATTCCCACCACTCTATGGACCACACTGTGCTCTTAATGCAGGTAGGGCCTTGCTGCTGGACCCTATAGATACCAAGAGCAGGATGCAGCAAACACAAAAAGTGATGCTTAATATAACAACCACATCTCTATTTTAAATACTTCCCACTCCCTATCCCACAGGAAAAACAGCCATTAAGTACGAATTTTATGAAATTCGGAAACTAGTAGAAAAGTTATTAGAAAAGTTAATTCTACACTTTGTGAAGTACCTTAAATCAAGACTGAAGAAAAATAACCAGAAACAGTAAAGGAACACTACAATTTCTGTTACCAAATGTCAGCTACATAGTATGTTTACAATTAAAAATAGCCAATATCAAGGTAAAGCATGTCAGTAACTCCAAACTTGATTAAATTCAATATTCTTTCATGCATTATAATGAAAAAGTATGCAATTATTAACTTTGAAAATACAAAGATTGAGGCTATTAACTTTTTCAGATTGTGGGTTATGTAGCCCATTTGTGTGGTGCGACCAGTCTAGAGGGTTGCAACCACATTATTAAAAATGAGACGACAAAAAATAGAGCAGACGTCGTAAGGGTGCATCTTCTGAAACTTTTCCATTTTTATGTATGAGGGTGTCTACTGGGTCACAATGCATCTTATTGTGTCATGGTCAAAAGTTTGAAAGCCACTGGTAGAATACAGTAAAAAGTGTGTCATAACTAGTACTAATAAATGTAAATATCTTCCTAGAGTTTCTGACTTTGTGAGGTCTTTACTTTATAGATGTGAAGAAAACAAATCCCGGAGCAAGGATGATTACCAAGCTGCAGTGGAAAGATTAATGATGGCTGCTCGTTTATCGGATCCCAAGCTTTTTGTTAAGCACATGACCGTCAATGTTAATAAGGAACAGGTCTATAGTTTGGAACATTGTTCTGCCCTGAAATGGTTGAAAGAGAACATGAAGTGGGCTGGAAAGGTTTGGCTTTTCAATAACCATTAGTTAATACTTTTTTTTAAGTTCAAGTAATCACTGTTGAAAATAAGATAATAAAAATAAAGACGGTTTTCACTATATTCAGCTTTTGTCCTTTATTTAGTGTTAATAGTTTTCAAACACTAAAGATTTTGATCGATGTATGCAATTTATAATAATTTTACCCCCACCGGAGTGATTTTCTGGTTACTTTTTGACTTCTTTTTAAGTTAGGGATTTCACCATATACTCAAACATTGAAAAATCACAAACTGAATATTGAGCAGCATTTAATAAGAGGGAGACATAAAAGGGGAAATGTGCAAGCAGGTAACCAAGTATTCAGAAAAACCCTTAGGGGTATGAAGTAGTGTGTACTCGGTCCAGTTTCTCAAGCCTGTTCCACATCTAATACAGAACAGCAAAGTAACACTGAAAAATGACTCCAACACTAAAATACCAGAGGACCTTCTGAGTTACACCAAAAATGTTTGTTACCCCATGAATAGTTTTCCTTTAGTGTATCTTAGAACAGTTTGGAAATACTTTCAGCATGACTAAAGAAAACAGTATTTCTTTTTTTAACTTTACTGACACTATTACATGTCCCCATTTTCTCCCCCTTAGCCCACCTCAGGCCAACCCCCAGCCCCCTTTCCCTCTGACAGCTGTCAGTCTGGTCCACATATTCTTGCCTCTGGTATATCCATTTAAAATAACTTCTTCAGAACTTAAACATCCAAACAAGAACGGTCCCTACAAACCACCTTAGGAAGTTAAAACTCCTTTTCTGAAGTCATTTTCAGAGTCTACCAAGGTCGTCATCCTCAATCTTGAATTTGATACTTTAGATTTGCTGCTTTAAACCATTTAAAATTGGAAAAAAAGTCGGAATAAGGTGAATAATAACGTAACTACGGGGGCTGAAAGTACTTAAAGGAGTTCCCAAAACATGGTAATCACTGGAATAAGCCTAGAACCTCAGACTAAAGCGCCTTGCGGCGGTCAGGTGGGGCCTGAATATCACGAATGAGATGGGAAGTGAGATGAGCGGTTCTCCAGCAGGAACCAACGGCGTCACCCTAACTGCCTTTTAAATGCCCGGGCGCCTGGGATGCACAGCGGCTCGGATGCCACTGCCATCCGTTTGAGGTGCCTTTGAGGACAAGTGAGGAATGGTAAAGGGGCAGTTATAAATCAGTCTTGTCGTTAGGAAGTAACTGAAACCCAAAGAAAGGAATTAGAGAAATATGAGATTGTTTAGATGCTGACAGCAAAGAATCATTTGAAAGGGTCAAGACGCCAGAGCCGATAATGAAGCTTTTAGGAAAAATGAGATTGGATGGAATGGATCACAAGTGATGACAAGACTGTTTCTAATGAGAAGTCAAGAGCCCTTAGGGCTGGAACAAATGGAGGCTCCCCACCCCCCGCCCAGTCAGCAATGTCAAAAGGTAGAAAAGGGAAAAGAGAGGTGATTGTTATTTGCCTAATTCCATCTGTGGCCGTTTCTAAGGCTAATCGAAGTCTTAGCAGCGAAATACAGCTCAGAGCAAAAACCCAAGCTGAAGGTCGAGAGCGCTTAAGGTCTGAAAATAGCCAGATCCTGATAAGGGCCAAAGTCCAAAGCAAGCTGGAGAAGAGAATTTGTTAAAAATTAGCCTCAGCTCCGAAAGCTCCGCGGCGGACCTGCGGAGGCAGCCTCCCCTCTCCCCGGGCGCCGGGCGTTGGCAGTTGGGGAGGTGGGGGCC